TATATATATATATATATATATATATTTTTTGATTTTCAATTGAAGAAATTTGAAGGTTTTGTTTGCATCAATATAAGCATAACTCAAATATACGTTTCAAGCTAAACTTTAAATAAAAATAAGGCTTAAATGGGATTCAAACCCTAGTCTAATCGGTGATATTTCTACCAATTGCACAAGAGCAATTCTATGTTTTTTATGGGTACACTGTCAATGATATCTTAATTTCTATAAGTTTTTCAAAATAGATATACATATATGCATATGATTTTTTCTGAAGTTACCGGGTGCACGTGCATCCCACGGTATAGTGTGCAGGGGTGTAGCTACCCTTTGGCTAGGACATGCTTTGTCAGAAAATTACATTGTATATAGAAGAAAAAATAATAATTTAAATGGTTAAATAACACATTCTGGATACTCTTGATAAACATTAAAAATTTTCTAGCTTAGTGATTTAAGTTGTTCAACTAGGGGTATATAAAATCGAACCAAAAAAAGAACCAAATTGCAAATCGAGTCAAACTGAAAAAAAATCCGACTAGTGGTTTGGTTTGACTTGGTTTCATGTTGGGACCAAAAAAAACCCGACTATAGTTGGGTTGGTTTGATTTCAACTAAAAAAAATAACCCGAGATCAAAACAACCCGGCATTATATATAATTTTAAAAATTTATTTTATACGTAAAAATACCTATTTTGATATAATCTTTAAATATCTCTAATACTTTTTCACAGTTTTTATCTTTTAATATATTTATTTCATGTTTGGAAGTTAGAATTCTTAATGATCTAATAAAAATTATAGTTTATACATGTTGGAAATTATAATAAAGTTTAAATAAAAATCAAACTAATACTAATGCAAAAAGAAAATCAATTCAACACTACAAATGACAATAATATTGAATATTTATTTTTTAGTTTTACATAGATTTAGACAATTAATATACTTCATCTAGTTTTACTTTCTTTTAATATTTAGTCATGTAACTAATATTTACTACACTTATTTTAGCATGATTTAATACTTTAAATTATGATTAGTTTCAGTATGACTTATTAATTTGCAATATTTTTTTATGCGACAATATTATTATTTTTTTGTTGGATATTTAAATGTCATTAATCATATCATTTTTTTTTATTTTCTTGAGAAATAATTTAGATAGCTGCATTTTGATAGGACTAAACAAATATTTGATATACAAGTAAATTATATGTTTGTATAAATACTTTATCAACAAAAATCCAAAAATCCAAAAAAATCCAAAAAACCCAAAGTTGAAAAATCCGAGTTCTATTGATTTGGTTTGGTTTATAAATTCAAAAATCGACACAAATGATTTGGTTTGATATTTAAAAAATTCGAACCAACCCGATCATGTACACCCCTATGTTCAACTCTTACTAAGTTCTTTGCAACTTGCAGTGCTTGCGTTTGATTCCCGTTATTTGACTTTGATTTTTTTCTTTTCATTAAAAATTTAAATAAAATTTAAAAGAATTATTTAATTTAAAGTTAATAAGAAAATCCTATTTATTTATTCCATTAAGCTACTAAAAGGAAAATACTTTATATAAATTCTCTTTTTATATAATTCATTTAATTCTATTATTTATTTTTCATTTCTCGTTGTTAGTCATCACAGGTTTTTAAAATGTTGAAGCATAAAAGTGATTTCAGTCTAAACTGAAATATCTCTCTTTTTCTTTATTTGTTCACTTCCTATTAGATAAACGTGAACACTAAAGCTAAATATTATGTAGTTTGATTTTAATTTTTTTGGTACAGTTTAATTATTAATTATTAATGTTATGTAGTTTGATTTACAAAATTGAAGTACACTCATTCTTTAAATTATTCTTACGAGCTATGCAATTTTTGAACACCCTTCGTAAAATTTTTGGTTACGTCACTGATAGTATGGGTCCACAACTTGCTTTGAGAAGTCTCTTGTTTCTGTTGACTATATTACACCGTCATGTATTATTAACATAGCAAAACGTAAAAGGAGGTCTCTGAAATTCAGCTAAACTTCACATTTATTTAGAAATCATTCACACTAAATTTAATAAGTATGACGATATGAGTAAAAATATCCGTCAAATTCAATTTGATGGTATATCATAATTTTGTAAATTAAATTAGTTTATTTCTTACATCTCTAAAATTTGAAGAAGAGAAAAAGAAAAGACAAGCAATGAATCCACCCATGTACTACAAGAAAAGACATCTATTGCTACAAAATTTATTGTAGCTATATGAATTTTTTTCGTGGCTAAACACTTTAGCTACATTATTTTCTTCTGTAGCATTCTTAGCAAGATATAGCGTGGCTTATAGTTAGCTACAGACTTTACATGTTGCGTGACTGAGAATTTATATCTGTTGCCATAAAAAAATATGTGTTGTAGCTGCATTGGAATAAAATGTTGTCACGAAAAATATAATTTTTTTATGACAAGGAACCCGCACTAGACAAACCACACAGGGGAAGTAACCCGCACTAGGCAAGCTTGGTGCGACGAGCTCGACCCAGAAGGCAAAATCCTTGCTTTCGCTGGCAAAGGGTTTCGAACTTGAGACCTCCAACATGGAAGTCTTAAGCTCAAACCGCTGGACCACCCAGAAGGTTTAAAACAACATACTTAAGACAAGTAATTTTATTCTTGTGTCATGATAAACAAAATTTGTAGTTATATTCATATATTGTTGCCACACAATGTTGTATTGTAGCAAAAAAGTTAACTTATTTGCCACACATACTTAGATCTTATGGCTAGTGCTATAACTTAGTCTCGTGGCAATAATGCTCATATTTAGCTATGAAATAAAATATTTATAGCTATAAATTTAAGTACTTGCCACAATATTTCATGTTGTAACTAAGAATTGATACAATTAGCCATGAAATATATAGTATTGAAGCAAAATAAATATTCATTTGCTACTAAAAATAATTTTTTTAATTATGCTCTTGAAACGTGGCAATTATAGTAAATATGTAGAGCTACAAATTCAAAATCTTATCGCTAAAATTCACAATTTTTTGCTACAGATTGTAAATTGTAGCCAAAAAAAATTTCTTCATTTGCCACGAAAATAAAAACGTGAAAACATGTTATCATTTGCGTAGCAATTTTGTATGTTTAGCTACAACTTTATTTTGACACACTAGTAACTCATTATTTATGTATGTGCGCATTTATTTTAACATGAAAATTAAAATAATGATACCATAATATCTTAAATGGGGGAAGATCAAGGATCATGTGAAAAAATAAAAATTTTGAAATTGAAAATATTTTTTTAAATTGATGTTTTTCCAAAAAAAAAATGTAATTTGAAATTGGAAGAGAGCTATGAAAAATGTTTTCCTTAATTTTTGAAGGGAAGTCATTTTCCTTAATTTTGAGGAAAATGAGTTGATTTGAAAAATATTTTCCAAAACTTTGTCCCAACCAAACATGGGAAAATTGAAAAATATTTTCGTTCATACCAAACACACTCATAAAGTACTTACATTTAGATTTGGATCATTTGATTGTTGACTTTGAGCTGCCATCATCTTTTGAAAGTTTTCTTCCCATCTTTTCGTCAACTCTTTTAACTTATTGTTTATTGTCTGTTTCTTTCTTCATTTCTTCAATTTGTTCCTTTTTGCTTTCCTTTTAAATTCTTTCACACGCTCATTTGATTCTTTTCTGATTGATTCTAGCTATTTTATGAGTTGTACCTTTGTTGGTCTACCACCAAAGTATTCGCTAATATTTTTCCCGGACCATATGCACGAACATACCCATTTTTTCCTGTCCCAAGTACTTTTTCGAAGATATCTTCGTCATTTCAAGAAATTTCTCCTTTGTCTTGTTGTTTTTTAAATTGATCA